CTTGTAAAGTTCATAAATATAGTTGAGTCGGGTTGGATTGGGCGGATTTATTCGATTTTTATGAGTTAACCCATAACCCGACCCGACCTGACCCATCTACACAACTAACACACTCAACCCGTGTAAAAAAAAACAAAAAAACCAACCCAAATCGATCGGATTGGTTCTATTTGGGCAGCTTTGGTGGGTTCGGTTGGGTTTTGCTCACCCCTAGTTGCGGGGCAAATTTGTCTTAGGGAAATAGTGTTTTCACTTGCCTCGAATCATTTCATCCCTTTCTTTTTCTTCTTCTTCATTTCTACTTATTGTTACTTTGTTTAATTTCGTTTTTGCATTGTTAAGTTAGCCTTTTTTTTCATCCACTTTCAAAACAAACTTTACTATATCACCAACATCATATACTTGAAGCCGCATAGTTAAATCATCACAAAGGTATGTTTTTGTTCATGTAAGCTGTTTGTGAAATTTCACAAGTGTACTGATCGTGACAAGTAATAAAGTGGATTTATTCAGTTCGAATATCGTCCCACAGAGACTACTATCTATTATAAATTTTTTAAACTAACCTAACTTTAATTTATATTAAAATGGTAACCAACTAATGATCAAATCAAGTTTTATTTTCTAAACCAAATTCTAGTAAATAAGCAACAAACTATTAATTAAAATAACAAACTCAAATTAAAATTGTAGAGAAGATTATGTAATTGGATAGTTAGAATTTTCGATTTCACTTAGGTTATTTATCATATATTTAATTTCAATTTATTCAGCTATTCTTCATACGCACCAATGATCGAATTAACCTATTGTATTTAGTGATCTATCTCGAGCAACACTAATCATATTCATATACCCGAACGTACTATATCTCTATGTAAATCCATAGACATATGAATGCATTTATTGTGACACCCTGAACTTGAGCTTCGAGTGTCACGTACTAAACATAATAACTTCTGCCTTTGCTACATGTAAAAACTCTAAATAAAATATAATACATACTGAAAACCTATTTTCAGTCTATAGTAAAATATCTCTGTAAAAGTTAATGGCCAGCCGAAGTGCATGCTGACCTGAACTTATTCTTTACATATATGAACTCGGTGCCGTCAGGCTAATTGGGCAGCCAGTTCAAATATTTTTATAAAATTCATCCCAACTCTATTTTCTATGAAATCTATAGCATTAGAAATATATTTCCAAGTAGTTTCCTATGTTAAAATATGGAAAATTTCCAAGATCATATGATATAGATGTTTTACTAAAAACAGTGAGGTACTGCACAGCAACTTCAGATTGACCTTTCGACGCTTAAAACTTTATAACTCAG